TTTTTAATGGTTATACTTTTGTAATTTCTTATTCCAGGCTAAAAATCTGCATTTATCTTGGGTTAAAATTGAACAAATCTATCAGCCAGAAAATTCATGAGTATATTATTTCTAGAAACAGAAAGTTTAACCTGGAGATGCAAACTTAATCTTCACTTTGTAATAAAGCTGTATATATCCAAATACATAGTTTTCTTTACTTGAGCAACTTTACTCTCATAATATCATTTACATTTTCTTTTCTATTCTAACACTATGGTTGGAGAATACTCTAAAAGTATATGAAAGAGAAACCAAGAATGTAATTCAGAGTAAAGTATTAAAACTATAAACCAAAGAGCATCAATCTTACAACCTCTTTCTTATGCCCCTCTCTTCGGTACTAAAAGTGATGGTTTGCTACTGTAACAAAAATTGGGTTTAGTGTGCTTTGGGAGTTACATACCTGTAGATACATAAGCTCTCTCTTGTAATGTTTATTTCATTGCTTTTGGGGGTTTTTGTTTTGCTTCCTGCATTCCTCTGTTAACGCAGTTAAGAAAAATAGTGCCAGAGAGTGCAAGGATTTAATGAGGTTTAAATTACTAAAAGATAACAGTTTCTACAGAAGGAGACTGACAGATTTCAAGCTCTGCTAAGAATCTGTCTGACGGTCGAATTCAGACAGAGGAGAGACTTGATTCTGTGTCAGACATCCTCCATGTGTAGCTTGCTTCAGTTGTGCTCAAGGGTTCACTTCCCCACTATGCCTCACCCTATGTGTTTTCCTTTTAGGAAGTCCTTTGTCAACCATCCATTTCTGCTCTTAAATGAGCTTTTATCACGGGCAGTGGACCTTCCATACTTGTTTGTTTTTTGCCAGATGCACTGGACTGCTTCCCATTTCTGATGTAGATTTTGGAGCATATCATCTATATTCCTGCTTTTCTACCATAAGAGTTCACAGTGTGCTAGCTGGTATTCAAAAGCACGACATTAGTGCCTATTTTAAAATAATGTGACTTAATAGCATAATTGAGGATGTAGTATTTGCATTCAGCATGCATGTTTACAGTGAAGTGTCTTGATATAGCTAAGCTCTCATGGACAGAAACATTAAGTGCTACAAAGAAAAACATTTTTTTCGAAGCAATGGAAGTGAGTGTTGTTTATTTTAAGAGATCTTATGTAAACGTAACTGGGGGAGGGAAAGCAAACCAGCACTTCTAGCCAATCCATGCCTGCACACATGTATCTCTTCTGGATGGAGCTTTCCCCTTTGGTGTCATTAGCATTTTCATTTCAAGAAATGACAGTCTGCAGTGGAAGCAGTAAAAATGTTCAACCTGTGGTTTAAATTATTGATTTTTTTGAATATTGAAGCTGTATTTCAAATGGGTTTTGTTCAAGTTACTTCTGGGTAGAGGGTTCCAGAGGTAATTTGATATCTAAAAGCCTGTGTATTTCAAAGCCATTTCAGTCTTTTGAGTTCCTTCAGCTGATCAGATGATTGGGTAGAATACCTTATTGTCTTCTGAATTGCAGGCAATAGATAAACTGCAGCTCAAGGTTAGCACATAGACTAGCTTACAATGCACTTAGTGATTTATTATGTGTACTCAGTGTCCAATCAACTGACAAAAATAGCTTATTTATTTTTAATGTGGTAGCTTATCTTCACTTAAAATAGAAAAAATGTTTTGAGATGCTAGTATTCACAATTTAGATGGGGGTGGCTCTGTTATATGTATCGCTAAGTAATTTTACGTAATTAAAATTAGGTGACTTCATGTTAGAGAATCCAGTACGTGTAAATAAAAAGTAGATGCATATATTTTCACAAATCAGTTGTGTTATACTACTATAGAACAGAATGGCTGCAGTGAGAGGTCATTTTTAAAGAACTGCAATACAAGCAGCACTCATGTTTATATATGAATACTTTCACAAAGGGCTGGATTGTTGACGGTTGTACACGTATAGTGTGTAGGAAGTTAGCCACTCTCAGCATCCTTCTATTCACAGAAAAAAAAAAAAAAAAAAAAAAAAAGTAAAAATGGTATTACTTCAGTAAGGCTCAGATCTGGCAATGAAGCCATATTGGAATCCATATTGGAGTTCATGGGAACTGTGAAAATTAAATTAATTGCAGGAATGGGCCCGGTTAAGAAGTGTTATTATCAATGGTGACACTAAATATCATAGAATAATGGGATGATTCAGATATAAACAGATTTTTTTTTCCCTTAAGGGAGGCCGTGGGTTAAAGAGTACTAAACTGAAAGAATGTTTCACTAAAGTATGAATTATGTAAATTCAAAATTATGCAACTTATTTTGCAAATAAGCATATATAGTGCATATATGTTTATATAAAATTCAAATATATGAAGATAAGTCATGAAAAGATGTATGGCATAAAGAGCTTATATAATGCCCGATTGGTTTCCCTCCTACTATAACTCTAGTTTCTGTGATTGTAGTTTAAGAATTTGTCAAAAAGTTTGTTGATATTCTTGAGATACTGTACTTCAGTGTTTTTCATTGTAGTTTACAAAATACCCTTTAAACACCAAACACCATAAGGATTAAATTTCTTCTATATCACTGTGTGTAAATTAGTCTTATCCTTGCTGTTCTAGATGTGAAGCAAAGAAGCCTGCCCTGCTCTGTACTGGCTGCACAAACAAATGTTAGCTAGGGGAAGGTTGTCTAAGATAAGCAGAGATGTAAAAAAAACAGATTCCTACTGCCCCCAGAAGCAGAAACATGCAATCCATACCTGTCTATATACTTTCTTGTTTTGCACATTAAGATGAGTGAGCATTGACTATACTGTATAGATTAATCTCCATACCTGGGGATACAACTTAGGGCTGAGAAGAGAATATCAATAATTCGTGGCTGTTGGGAGGTGTTCTGCCTGTCAGGGGGATGCGCTGGATCCCAATGCTACGGGGCTCTCCTTGGTCCCCATGCAAACTTGGCTTCATTGCTCTTGCAGTGAGACTGCTCGTGCGATCTGGCATGTGCCAGCAGCAGGTATATCCTGTTGCTTGAAGAGGTTTTGCAATGAGCTGTGCTTTAAACTCCACAGTTCTGTGTTACAAAAAAGGATGGGAAGACATTCCCTATGTCATATTTATCACTAGTATAATTATTCCTAATCAAAAATTTCTCATGGGATGAGAAAACGTATTTTTCCTTACACAACTTTGTACATGACTTTTTATGTTTAGCATCAGAAGGCTTTTGAATCCTTGTCCCAGTTTTAAATCAATATTCTGTTGGAATAAAGGGAGATCCTGCAGGTCAGGCTGCCCTCTCTAGCTGAGGATAGCTTTATTCTTAGTATTCCAGTTTCAAGCATGCATAAGCCTATTGTAGCATGTCTCAGCTGGCTCTGCCATTAATAGTGCCAGAGATCTAGCCACAGCCATTGTATAATTTCTCACACCCGTGTGGCAGTAGTAGTGGGAACATTTACCACAGATTCCCTAAATGAAACTCTAACTCAATTGTAGTCTCTAACAACCACCTTCCTATTGATTTCAAGGGGAACGGACTTCATGTCTACCCTATCTATGTGTGCCTGCTAGATCCTCTGATGAGCATATTTACTTAACTGTCAGACCTGAGCAATGATTCCAAAGAGTGCTGGGGTTTGGGACCTATTAAACATTTAATGAGAAGGAACATGGCCAGCTCAGAATAATTCTTCTCTCAGTGGCAAACAGGAGAATCATCTAGCTAGGAATTTCCATGTATCATGGCTACTTTCAGTCCTTACAAGAATATTTTAATGACCTCTGCTTTTTTTGCTTTAATATATTTGTGATTTATGTCCCATAGGGCTGATTTTAAAAAGCCAACAGAATGCATCATTTTTCCTGGGCATTTAAAAAAAAAACAATAGGCAATGATTAACCCACTGCTATGAAAACTTCAGGTAGCCCTGGAGAAAAAAAACAGACTTGAGACTGGGGCCTCTGTGTCTGCCACAAGTGGATGGGAATCAGAGCTTGTCCTTTGGCATAAAAATTCTATGTACACTTCAGCACTTCTCTACATGGATTCCTGTCTGTCAGAGAAGTTAAAACATGTGCAAACACTGAATGTTTATTTATTAAGAGCTAAGTCTGGAAAACTAGAATCAGCCCAGCAGGCTGGAAATCTCTGCTTTGAGGCTCTCAAGAGGAAAAAGCCATCTCTCTCTAGATTAGGTAGGCTGTGTGTGGTGCCTCTTGTGATCTGATAGATGAACACACGGGGCTCTCAGGGACTGATGGCAGATCTGGACGTGCTGGCTCTACCTTTCCTGAGCACAGCCCACCCAGAATTTGCATTCCCAAAGCCCCTCCCCAGGACGTGTACATGGTACTCCAAGTTCAGTCTCAGCTTTCTTGCCAGAGCTGTACTGCATGCTTGTCAATCATAACATGCTAGCAGAGTTCATTGCATGATTTAGGGGTCAGGAAAAACTTGTTAGTCATTACAAAAATGGTAACTAAGTCATGATGATAGTTTAATTCAGAGTGGAAGATTTGAGATTCCTTGCAAATTGATTCATAGGAAAGTAATTTCAAAAGAGTTTTGTCAATTATTTGTTTTTTTGTTCTTTAGTTTAAATCTGTTCTGATACTATTTCAACTACTTCTGTGTCTATGAAAGTAAAATCTAAGAGTTTGCCTGCAGTATTCTTATGTGTGTCCCCATTCTGGTAGCCAATACAAAGAGGAAAATACTAATTTTATTTCATGGATTTTAAAGTAGGTGAGACCTCAAGCAAAAATCTAGATCTATTTTAAAGATCCTGTCTAAAATTTAGTGCTGAATTAAAATTGGTTTGAATCTCTGTTGTGGTTTGAGCCTGGTCGGCAGCCAAACACCACACAGCCGTTCACTCACCCTCCCTCCCCACCTGGGAATGGGGGAGGGAATTGGAGGGGTAAAGGGAGACTTGCAGGTTGAGATAGGAACAGTTTAGTAATGGTAATAAAACGAAAACAATGACAGTAATAGAAAATATAAATGGGCAATGTACAATGCAATTGCTCACCACCCACTGACCAATACCCAGCCCGTTCCTGGCTAGCGATCCTGAAATAACCAAGATTCTGCAATTGCAGTCCCGGAAGTGAGAGCGAGCCCCTTCCTCATCACCCCTCCTCTATAAAGTGAGCATGGCGTTCCACGATATGGAATATTTCATTGGCCAATTTGGGTGCTCCATCTGTGTTCCCTCCCTGCTTCTTGTGCACTTGCACACGGGCAGGACGTGGGGAGTTGGAGAGTCCTTGAAATCTTGGCAGCAGCCGAAAACATCAGTGTGCTATCAGCATTCTTCTCATACCAAACCCCATGCTGAATCCAAAACATAGCACTATTCTAGTAACCAAAAAGAAACATTAACTCTATTCCAGCCCAAACCAGGACAATCTCTTACAAGATGTTAAAGTGCTGAGTTAAGATTCATAGGGGCTGATATTTTCATGGTTTGTTTTTCCCCACAATTATGTTATCCAGATCTGTGTATAATCAGGCTCTGAGAATGTTAAGTGGCTCAGCCTTGCAATCCCTGCCCATGCAAAAGACCATTTGGCTTCAATAGGACTTTTGCATAGGAAAAGATAAAAGTATTATGTTCAAAACAAAGTTAATGTTGAAGAACTCAGGTTATCAAAGTAGAAACGTTGTGGGTAGATTATCATTGGAATATAAAACGAAATATTCCCCTAGATACTGAAACCCTTCCACCTTCCCTGTACCGCTTTATCTATGACTTGAAATTGTTTAGTGCTGCCTGGAGAACTGATACTTTGAAAATTGTAGTATTAGCTATTTAAATATCTTCCCAAATAGAATTGGTATAATTTCCTTGAATTTCTCACCCCAAATATACACAAATGCTAAGTAATGCTTATAGTATTTAAGCACTCTTAATCCTAATGGAAAATGAAAATGCTGCAGGTATGTACAAGATGTACCTCAATATTTGCAATTCATCCCCAGCAGAAAATTTAAATACATCCTTCAAGGGAGTAATGCAATTCTCCTCCTAATTACTTAATCCAGCAATAAAAATATTTTGGATTATACTTAAATTTAAATATAACTGTGGTGATCTGTAACTCCCCGATGTTGATTCACTGTGCAGGAATTTTAACAACACTTTAAATAGGATTGTAGTTAAAAGATTTTTCTTCTTGATTATTGAAGAAATCACATTTTTCTCTCCTTAAAGGGAAGCATCTATTCTCCCCTCCTCCTAGGAGAATATAATAGTCTTGATTTACTTATAGCAATCTGGAGAAAAATATTTTAGTGATGGTTCACAATTTACTAATGGAGTTTTACAAAACAACCTCTAGGAACAGCTAGAAATACATGGATTATATGGCTTCCCTATGAGAAAACAGTAATTAAAATTATACCACAGATTCTATCAGGACATGTTAATATTTAATTAGGCAATAAGTGAGCTTGGTACAGGTGTCCGGAGTTGTTGACAGGAGCTTTGTTAATCCATGTAGTATTGTCTCTTAAATGAATGGTTACCTCCTTGCATTTTTCAAGTGTGAAGTTACATGCTTAATTAGCAGATATTAAAATTCCTGTGTTAGATTTCTGTTTGTTGGTTTAATTCCTGTGTCTATACATTGAGTGCAAAATCCTAGATGTGGGCTTTAAAGAACCCTTTTTCTCATTGTTTGCTGTTTCTGTCAGGGATTTTGTTAGAATTATGAGACTGCCTGCAATTCTCTCCCATTTTTTTTATCTAGAGGAGCTCATTCTGTAGCATTATGTGTCTTGGCCTTTAGTTCATCCCTTTAGAAACCTGCCACTACTGATGTTGCCTTACTGCCTTCTTACAGTATTTTCTTTAGCAATTAGAAAACAGTATTAGAGAAAAAAACATTGAGTAGTCTGTAACAATGATGTTTGAAAAGCTGTGTTAATTTGGCCTCCTCTTAAAGTGCAAGAGAATCCATTTGTATTCTCCTTGTAAGCAAAACTCCTTTAGTAACTCTCCCAGACTTGCTGCTGCAAATGCGTAATGTAATTCTTCCTTCTCTTTCCTGGATCTTACATTTTTTTTCATCGGGTCTTATCCATCTTGGTTCCTGCCTGGTTTTCTCATACTTTTCAAAGTGCCTTTTCCTTTACGTTTTATGGGACCATTCAATAGTACTTGTCTAGAATGAAAACTTAAGAATTGCTGCTCCTTTATTTGGTCAGTTAAGTACATCTCACAAGTTTTGATCACAGATTTGATTATTATATTCCCTGACAGCTGAAAATAGACTAATATTTTTAGATGTTTGTAAAAGAATTAATGTCTTAAAGCAAGCTAAGTTGTTATGATCTAAATCTACTGGAGTCCAAAGGGTAAGCATTATAAACTGGACTAGTATATTTTAATTATGCATTAATTCTCCACCTTTGTGCATGCACACAGGTTCTTAGAAGACATGCCACAGAAATTTTACTTTCGGATACAGATCAAAAGCTGCAGTCCGTGTAGAGATTTTATATATCCATGTACTCCTATTTTATTCCATTCTGTTCCCCTCAAATCATTAGTATTGCAACGTTTTGCTTGCATCAGAGTAATAGAATCCAGTCTCATCATGTTGATCACTTGTGAGCATCTGCTCTGGGTTATTATCCAGAAATGCCTTGTCAATATTTTACAGAACATAAGTGAGTTACAGATACAGAGTTTAGGTTTTTCGATAAAGCTCATCAGGTACTTCATCCAAGCTACACAAATAATGCTTTGCTGGCACAAAGATATAACTTATGGGAGAGTAAAATTGAGTTTTTACACAGTTTCAAGACATTCTATCCTAGTACCTCAGGGATTATCTGTGCTGTTATGATATAGCATTTTATTTCATTGTAGAGAGTCTGAAGCATCTCACTTCATATAATCTGAAGCAGTGATTTCTGAAAGATCTGGTTCCTTAGTAGAGTCCAGTGCAGTCCATAAAGTACAATGAATTGCTTCATGTATATTTCTGGAGCTGAGGTTACTTAAAAGTGATCTAAAGATGGTGCTTTTTTTTTTTTTTTTGTGTTGGTATTTTGAATTCCGTGCTTCAATTAAAGCGGCAGGATTGACCATCCATGCTGATTTGTTCATCCGTGACTGTTTTTAGTGGGGTTGTCTCCTGGGAGGTGCAGAACACAGTCCAGAAAAAAAATGTTGCAATGTGAAAGCTCTGCTTAATTAAATGGAAAACTGAAAACCTTCAGACAAAAGCCAACATTCCTGCCAATGAACAAATTAGATTTCTTTTTTTTTTTTTTTGATTGGAAATTTTATAATTTGTCAAAAAGTTGTGGAAAAAAAAAATCTTAAAGAACTTACTGCTAGATGTTCTTACTTTGTGTTTTCTGCCATGCTATATTCTTATTTCTAATTTTCTTTGTTAGCTGAAGAATATCTTCTCCTCCTTTTTTTTTTTTTTTTTTCTTCTGCTACAGCTTCTATGCTATTTGTTTCAAAACATTGAGGAAGTTTGCTTTTGAAGTAGACTATATTTGTTTCTAAAAAAAATGACCAACCAACCAAACACCACAACAAAAAATCCCCACAACCAAAGCCTGAGAAATCTGCTGATCAACTTAAGAGTCCTTTTTTCACTGAAGTCTGGGATGTTTAAATGTGATTTTCTGTTCTTGTGGCCTCTCGCTTAAAATAAATTAATGTTTTGAGACAATTACTGAACATTTTTCTCATCAGTCAGCTAAAGCAACGATTCATCAATTAAGTAGTTTGCTATATCTAAACATTGAGATCTAAGAATCATACATGACAAAAACAGAAAAATGAACTAAAAGTAAATGTCTGGATACAGATAGAACTTTCTCTCAAGAACTGTTGGTCTACTTCTCTCTTCTTTGATGGGTATAGTTTTTGACCACAATGCACTTTGACAGCAGAAATTTAATCATGTCCTGCTGCTTACACCTTTATCAGAAAACTGATAAAATGTATGCTTACGCTGAACATTAGCAAGAAATTTTTCAAATGTCCTTCAATTTTTTTTCCTTTCTCTTCTCTCCCTCCCTCGCTTCCCTGTCTCTCCCAGAGAAACTGATATAAAGCTGATGAGAATTTGGATTTGCTCTGAAAGCATCTTTTGTTCAAAGACTAATTTTAACCTTGTGATAAAGATTGCTTTTTGTATTCTGTTGAATGTGATATCTAGTAAGTGTTTGTCAAGGCTAAGTACTGTAGGAAAATACATTTAAAAATTATCTTTTGCAATTACAGTGGAAATGTCTTTACATTCTAATGTCTAGAAAACAAAGCAAATATGTAAAAACTAAGAAAGAATATTAAATGTTTTAATTTTAAAGTATTATGGCTCTGTATTATGAAAAGTTTTTTTAAAAAAACCTCAAACAAATGTAATTGTAAACAAAGATCAAAACTTCATTTTCTTGTAAATATATAACTCAAGTAGAAAATACATATTTCTACATTTGGTATAAACATTACAGTTACTCTCCCAGTTTTTTGTACTTTTACTCATAATTTGTATTGCTCTTGTATTTTAATCTTCTGATTTATTATTTTAGGGAGCTTTAGTTTATAAGATTAGGATTTCTAGTCAAATCAGCATGTATGAATTAACAAAGATTGGGGTATTGCTGTTGTTTTAAGAAAGGACAGCAGACCATTTTTACTTGACTTTCAATGGGAATGGCACTGTCCCAAGATTATTCTAAGGTAAAGAGAGTAAACAATTCTTTTTATATACTCTAATCTAGTAAGATTATCTAAAGAACTTGAGATTTTGCTATCTTAATCATAAATTATCGGTAGTGATGGCCTGCTGTTTGAAAATTGCATTAGTAAGAAAGGTGGTTTGCTGAGCAAGCAGCAATGTTAAAAGCTTAAGTAGAAATTAAGTTTGATGTCGGTAAATTTTGAAGTTTCTCATGCGTTCTCATGGTTAAATCTTAAAGCACTAATGAGATGGTATAGAAAAGCATCAAATACATGGTAACTAAGCCTCTAACTTGTCACTTGTCTTTCACACAATATGAATGCTTCAGCAGTTTTTTTCCAAAATCCTGACGCATTGCTTTTTCCCTTATGGGTCTGCAGTCTTCAGTGCTAACTTACTGATTTGGAAAGCTAGCTTGCTTGTTGGAGCTTCAGTGTTAAAATTGGTTTAATAAACACAAATGGGATAG